CTTGAGCCTCCTCTGAGAATGAAAGCACAGACAGACCCTAACAGCAGAGGTCGGAAAGATTTTATTTGCAGAGAATTTAGTTGGAGAAAAAAGAGAAAAACTGCATATTGGAGAATGCAGCGGGACCTGGAAACTGGTGATCCCGTGGGCCAGGGTGGGGAGTGGGTTTTATAGCCTATTTGCATTGCCTGATGGCAGGAGATGCCTTTCAGATGCAAACAGGCGTTTCCTAGGGAGGTGAAGTGTCTCCTTGACCACTTATCGCCTTTTGGGACCTCCTGCAGTCCGTCCTTCAGTCCTTCAAAACTTTATTTAAAACATGAGTTCAGGGTGAGATGTTTCCCATGAGCCAGACCGTAGTTGCCAGTGTCAGTACTAGTAGCTTGTTTCATCTGTGCAAGGAGTCTCAAGTTCAGTGGACAAACAGCTGTCATGAGTCACCACAGTGGAGAATCACTAGCTCTCCCGCAATTTCCAGACTTTGATACTGTAAAACCTGTGCTGAAGAAAAGGAACTTGGAGAAAAAACTGTGGACTATCATTAAGTTATGTAAATTGTTTTCTGTCTGTGTTGGTCAGCTTTCCACTACTGCAGCAAATACCTGAGACAATCAACTTATGAAGAAAGAGAGTTTATTTTGGTGGGGCTGAAGTTTGAACTCAGATCTGTGCTTGCAAAGCATGCACTCCACCACTTCAGCCATACCTCCAGTCCATTTTGCTCTGGTTATTTTTTTATTTTATTTATATTTTTGGTAGTACTGGGATTTGAACTCAGGGCCTAGTGCTTCTAGGCAGGAGCTCTACCACGTGAACCACTCTGCCAACCTTTTTTTGTGTTGGGTTTTTTTGAGATACGGTCCTGAGAACTATTTGCTTGGGGCTGGCTTTGAACTGCGATCCTTCTGATTCCTACCTCTGAGTAGCTAGGATTACAGGCGTGAGCCATCAGTGCCTGGCTGCTCTGGTAATTTTGGAGATAAGAGTCAAGGCTGGGCACAAACTGGAGCAATATGTCATCAAATGGAAGTATGTTAGAAGATACTGATCTCAGGCAGCTCCAGTGTGTAAAAGTGAATTGTCTTGTTGGTGCTGGGGCTTGGCTGAGGGATAGAATGCCGGCCTAACATTCATGAGGCCATGGGATCCATCTCCATCACTAAAAAAAAAAAAAATGAGTTGCATGAATAGTTACCTAGATCTGTCAACACAAATGCATTTCACTGCCTCCTCTGCCTCAACTCATGCCTGTGACTTCCTGGGGTATCCTATGACCCAACTGACAAAAAGTTTGGTTTACAGATGTTATTTCCACCTGAAAATGGAGAGCCAAAGCACTATACTCCTATTGGAAAGTGACCATGGACACAGTAGAAAAGAAAAATCCTCCCAATGAGAGAACTTCCAAAACTGTACTGGGCCAGGCATGGTGATGCATAGTTGTAATCTCAGCTACTCTAGAAGCAGAGGAAGGAGGATCACGAGTGTGAGGCCACTCCAAGAAAAAGGCACCATTGTGGTCCCAATACTGGAAGATGACGTGTTCAGCCTGTATACTGGGGCCTCTTGTTTGACCAGACCAAGGGACAAAAAAGAGGGTAAGAGACAAGAAGGGTGGAGTCTAGCTCCTACTGGAAAATCCATCTGCTTAGAAAAGGCTAATGGAAAACTGTAACTGAAAACAGGCAGGTCAATGGTTTGATTTTTGATTATTTATAGATGGTAATGGGATTTGAACTGAGGGTACTCTGCCATTTGAGCCACGCCCACAACCCCTAAATTTTTTTTAACGTAGAATCTCATTATGTAGCTCAGGCTGACTTTGAGTTTGTGATCCTCCTGCCTCAGCCTCCCAAGTACTGAGATTACAAGTGGGAACCACTGTGGCTAGTGGCAATGAAGGGTTGAGTCACTCCACTAGGTGCAGAACCTAGAGCTGAGACATAGCCTCAAATTCTTCCTCCTTCCCAGTTTCTCTTATGTATTTGTCACATTTACAAAAATAAACGAACAAAAAAAATTATGACACTCTGCTTCTCTAAGTCCTATGGAGAATAGCCAAATGATTTAGTTCAGCTCACCATACAAGTTTCAATGTTCTGTGTGTTGTTTTGATGTGAACTCCATTTCAAGGTCTTTGCTGTGCTATTCTTCTCCCTGCTAGAGGATGGGTTACAGAGAGGGTGGTCTACCTCATAGCCCAGTTCTTAATGTCTACATCTCACTGCCATCACTGCATGGCCTGAAGGTTGGGGCAAGTAAAAGGCGAAACAAACACTTGGGAATTTCTTTCTCTCATTGAGCATTAGGGCACCCCACTCTGAAAGTTGTGCCAGAAACAGACGTCTGTTAACTTTATGTCCACAGGGGAAAATAGAATTACACAAAAAAGGAAGGGAAGGTAGCAAAAAGTGTAGTATTAGCTGCTACTATGAATAATTCTAGCACTGCAAGTATGGCTCAAGTGGCACCTAGCGAGCGCAAAGCCGAGTTCAAACCAGGGTGCCACACACAAAAAAATTGTCTTATAATTCTAACAGGTTCAAGAGAATGGCTGTCCTTAATTTGTTTAGTGCCTCACCCTGGGTTGATTTAGGGCAAGGGGAAATGCTGGTTTGGTGTATCAAAGGAAGTGTTTGGGGACCAGACTTTGGATCAGTTGACTTGAATATGAAATGTGTGCTCTCAAGCATGGTGTTTACTGGTTTAGGGATAATTACCCAGCCCTGGGAGGGGCAGTCAGCCAGCAAGAAGCCCAGGACGTTGTCTGGCAGTATGAACTCATGAGTAAAACATATATAAAGATGAGTAGTTTTTGAAGCCAAGGGAAGGAGGAAGATCAACATGGTAGTGGCCAGGTGTGTTGGTGAATGCCTGTAATTCCTGCACTCAGGAGGCTGAGGCAGGAGGGGGGAAAAATAACAAGAAGAGCTGTAGGGAGTTAGTAGAAGGAACAGGGAAGATACTGGTCCTTCCCTCAAGGTGTCAATGGGTTGACATATGGAGCAGGTGCCTCCAGGGGAAATGAATGCAAATTTTGCCAACTTTCACAACAGCATAGACAGCAGTAACCTCTATCCAACTTTCCCATAGTGGGCATGGGGTATAGATCCATGGGGACACAGAGAACCCCAATATCAAGGTAAGGAAAAGAAAGCTGTTGTGTGTGCGGTTTGTGTCTGAGGAGCGCCAGTCCTTGCATCACTACAGGGGAGGTTCTGATGAACCTGAACTCATCTCCAGCACAGAGCGAAAGATCATCTCCAATGAAGAGGTCTGGGGTGGGGGCTGTCTCATCAGCAGTGAGCTTCTCAGGTCAAGAATGTCCTGTCTGTGACACTGGGATGTCATTTGTTAATAACATCACTAGGGGTCCAGGCCCAAGGATGAGGCCAACTTGCAGTACTGACTTCACCCATGACCCCCAAGTGCTCATCCTCAGGCAACGGGAACAGGTTCCCCAGGGTGGGGTACCTACATGTTTTATTTTACACAATCTGAATGACATCTGAAGCCAGTCTGTGAGCTGTTATAATCCACACAGGGAGTTAAGAATAACGTTCTCTGGTGCTGTTGCCAACGTTAAAGGTATTAACCCACCAAGAGACCCACTCCACAACCCAATCCTCACCCCCCCACACACACACACAATGTGCACAGCTCTTCCACTCAGGATTATGCAGCTGGTTCTGGATCTCCAAGACATTGGCTGGTCTAACAGCCACTGAAAGAGCTATCAAGTGGCTACCACCCCTAAGGCCATATGTGACATAACCCAAGGCTATCCATATGTATAAGTGCATAAATATGGATTACTCAGACTGAAACCTGGGTGGTGCTTTCTGTGGGGCGTACTCGAGGCCACATTAGGAAATGCCAGTGATGGTTCCCAACATAGAGCATGACCATCAGCCATGTTCATAGGAGATGTTACAGGAAATCCCTTTCTCCTCGGGTACAAGGGTTACAGCTCTTCCTACATGGCCATGAAATCAAGTTACCTTACCACAGCTATGTACTCATTATCCTTTCTCCACTCACCTCTTCTTGCAGCCCCCGTTTTATCTGCAGGTATGAGAGTGGACCACTGAGAGCTGCTGTGAGCATTTGTGGACCATGCTGGAAGAGCATGACAAACCAACCAGAGATGAATAGTGCCAAAATAGGATTTGGGCTGTGGGTACAGCTCATTATTAGGGCATCTGTTCAGTAAAGCCCTAGGTTCAATTCTAGAGAAAATAAGTAAGTACACAGGGTGAGCGTACATCCTGAAAGCTCACTTTTGGCCAATGTAGTGCCTTGACTGGAAGGGTGCTACTACTTAGAAAAGGTAGACCCATCATTTCAAGGATGATCAGGGCAGGATCATACATGTTCAAAATAAATCAACACACCACACAGAAGGCCTATCTCTGTGAGCATACAAGCTTTTAGCACGTGGGGATGCAATTCCCATATTCGAATTATTTTTCTCTTGAGTATGAGGAACCATGTTTAAAGGTTGAGGAAAAATATGTAGAAAATGGCCACTCTGCATCTTTCCTTACCTTCAAATAGTTCAGTCTGGACTGTGCAGTCCCATGAGAGTGTCACATTACAATTTTTCCACATCAACAGGGTTTCCCCTAGAAGATTCGGGGAAGTCTCAAAGAGTGAGGGCTTTCCTATTTGTCACATTGTATGGCTCTGGCATGAGTTCTAGCAATGCTGCATGGTGGTCAGATTCCATTGGCTCTCAAAAGGTTCTTAAATTCCAGCAGAATCTTGAGATTAAGGAGATCTTTCACTTCTGTGAAATAAACTGGTAAAATTGAGTGCTGTCCTCCATACCTTACATTCTTGTTTCTTTTTTTCCTTGAGGTGGGGGTTTCGCTAAGTAGCCCAGGCTGGCCTGAAACTCTCCATCCTCCTGCCTCAGGCTCCCAAGTGCTGGGATTATAGGCATGAGCCACCACACCTAATAAGGTTTCTCACCAGTGTAAATTCCAGTGTGTTGATTAAGATGTGAGGAATTCCTGAAGGATTTTCGGCATCCCTCCCAGTCAAAGGGTTTCTGTCTGCTGTGAGTTACTAAATGTTCACTTACTAGGTAAAGCTTATTGTAGGCTTTCTCACATTCTTGATATTTATAGGGCTTCTCCCTATTGTGAATTCTGACATGGTGATACAGGTTTGAGGATGTAGTAAAGGCCTTTCCACACTCCTTACACTTGTACGGCCTCTCCCCTGTGTGCATTCTTACATGCTCAGTTAGGCTTGAAGAAACAGTGAACTCTTTCCCGCAATACTTACATTTATACGGTTTTATTCCAGTGTGAATCCGAATGTGCTTATTAAGGCATGAGGAGTTTCCAAAGAGTTTTCCACATACCTTACATTGAAAGGGCTTCTCCCCTGTGTGAGTCTTTGTATGTTCAGTCAGCAGGTAGCACCTTTTGTAGGCTTTCCCACACTCCCTACACTCATAGGGCTTTTCCCCAGTGTGCGTTCTTATGTGTACGACCAGACAAGAGGAAGTGGTGAAGGTCTTACCGCACTCCCTACATTCGTAGGGCCTCTCCCCGGTATGTGTTCTTACGTGCTCAGTTAGGCTTGAAGAAACAGTGAAGTCCTTCCCACAGTACTTACACTTGTAAGGTTTTATTCCAGTGTGAATTCGAATGTGCTTATTACGGCAGGCAGAACTTCGAAAGAATTTTCCGCATACCTTACACTCAAACGGCTTCTCCACCAAATGAGTCTTTAAATGTTCATTCAACAGGTAACACCTTTTGTAGGCTTTCCCACACTCCCTACACTTGTAAGGCTTTTCTCCACTGTGAGTTCTTACATGTTTCCGCAGGTAGGAGGAAGTGTGGAAGGCCTTCCCACAGTCCTTACACTCGTAAGGCTTTTCTCCAGTGTGAGTTCTTACATGTTTCCGCAGGTAGGAGGAGGCATGGAAGGCTTTCCCACAGTCCTTACACTCATAGGGCTTCTCTCCACTATGAATTCTTAAATGTTCAGTTAGGTTTGAAGAAACACTGAAGGCCTTCCCACAGTCCTTGCACACATAGGGCTTCCCTCCAGTGTGTGTCTGGACATGAGTGGCAAGACCTGAGCGCTTGGTGAAGGCTTTTCCACACTCTTTACACTGATAGGGCTTCTCTCCAGTGTGAATTCTGAAATGTTCAGTTAGGCTGGAAGAAGTAGTGAAGGACTTCTTACATTCCTTACACTCATAGAGTTTCTCCCCAGTGTGGGTTCTCATGTGACTGTTAAGATTTGAAGAATATCCAAAGACTTTTCCACAAACCTTACACTCATAGGGTTTCTCCCCAGTGTGGGTTCTCATGTGACTGTTAAGATTTGAAGAATATCCAAAGACTTTTCCACAAACCTTACACTCATAGGCTTTTATGGTATACATCTGAATAGGCACAGCTCCACGTGTGGAATATGGAAAATCTGCAAATTGTGTCAACTCATAGAACTTTTCTCCATTGTGATTTCTCATATGTGCCTGAAAGTAAGATGGGTTAAGGAAGGCACAGTCACTGCAATCAGCGCGTTTGTCCTGCAAGCTCATTATCTGGCAAGACACATCTGGAGTGAGGCTAAAGGATGCTACACATGGGTCTAGCACAGATAGTCTCTGTTCTATAGAGGTTCTCTTCTGCAGAGCAGGAAAGTATTTTCCATACTGATTAGAGTCACAAGTACTCCTTGAATTGTCAGTTTTCATGTGTGTCCTAAAATAGGAGTGCTCTCTAAAGATCTCTCCACACTGTACATAGTCACAGAGGTCTCCAGCATTGTGGCTTCCTGCCTGTGGATGAAGGAATGGAAGAAAAATGGTTAAAGGGTTTTTCAGAACGGATGGATTCCACCTTTCTGAAGACAGAAACACTGTTAGGATTCTTGACGTTTTCATTGCATCTACACGATTCCCACTCCGTGGATTTTGATCAAATTGAATGAAGGGACATTACTGCAAGGATCCTGTGCCATCTAGTCAACCTTGGAATGATTCCTGAATGTTTTCATAAGATTCTTTTAAGAATCTTTGTACCCAATTTTATATGAATGTGTGCTTGTGGGAATTCTGAAGCCTCCAGTTTTGAGCTAGATTATGGTATGCCAAATTCATCACATTAAGAATATGCCTCATGAGACATTTCCCCCAGTAGGGTAAAAGCTGCTTCTCTAAGTATCTCTCATATGTGCTGATTTTCTACAAAAGAATTCCCAATCTGAACGTGGTAAATAAGGAATCTTCCCTCAGTTTCAGGTTGCCAGCACTGTTGCTTCTTTGCCTTAATAAATGGATGAATGATGACACAGTACATTATTTAGAGGCTGATTATGGTTTTAGCATTTCATGGCACTCTTTTTTTTTTTTTCTCTCCTACAAATGTGTGAGGGAGGAAAACAGGGCTGCCTGGCTAGGAGCAGTTCTAAAGATGGTCCTCTAGGCTGATTTTGGCCTCCTGCCCTGGCTGAGGAGAAAAATAACCCCCACAGCCAAATGGGAGAGAGGGCCGATCATGGCACTGTTATAGTTCTTGTCATGTGAATGAAGGAACAATAGTGCCAGAACCTGTGACAGCGCTTTTATGTTAATTGCCTTTAAAAAGTCAGTATCAAGCCAGGGGCTGATGGCTCACGCCTGTAATCCTAGCTACTCAGGAGGCAGAGATCAGGAAGATCGTGGTTTGAAGCCAGCCTGGACAAAAAGCTCATGAGACCCATTCTCAAAAAAACCCATCACAAAAAAGGGTTGGTGGAGTGGGTCAAGGTGTAGCCCTGAGTTCAAGCCCCAGTACAATTTAAAAAAAGAAAAAAAGTCAATGCCTAGTTACACATGTAGAAATGTGTACTTGTGGGAACTTTAAAGGATTAAGCTTCAGGATAGGTTGCAGACACACCACATTCATTATATTCAGAGTATTTCCAGAAACAGTGCTCACTCCTGTGCAAATGCTGCTTAGTTTCCAAAATGGTGTTTGCAATCTTGTCTGAGTGTAGCAAGTAACACCATCCTTTGTTAATCTTACCATTTGTATTCCACTGGACATTTGCTCCCTCAAAATATCTTGCTGGAATGTTGACTCTTTGGTGCTAACTTGCATTTCCCATTCTAAAAACAAACAGAAAAACAAAATTAAGATTCGGAGAAAGAAATGGCACATTGTAGAGTTAAAAATGATAGGGCTCATCTGTATTTGTTTTCTTTTTTCTCCCACAAGGCAAAATAGGCAAAGTATATTTTCTTAAATCAAAAACAGGATTATCTATACAAATAATTACAATGACCATTAAAATGTTACATTTAACAATAAAAACTTCAAAACTTTTATATTTATTTATAAATTAAACCTGGTTTAAAAAAGGGGGGGGATGAGACTTGGGGGTGTAGCTCAGTGGTGGAGCACTTGCCTAGCCGTCATGAGGCCCTGGGTTCCATTCCCAACACTACAAACAAAACAAAACAACAGCAACTACAAATAGAAAAGAAGAAAACAAAGTTTGGACATGTTAAGAAGGTAAAATACCTTGCAAGGGTGAAGTTGTAGGTCATAGTTTTAGACAGTTTATTACAAATTCTTTGAAAATTAAAACTGATGCTGAACAAGAATGTTATCATGGATAAAAAGGAGCAGAGATCTGGACAAAGAGCACAGGACCATAGACTAAAAAAGAAGCTCAGTGGATCATTTTCTGAGAGTACAGGGAAGTCTGAATACACAGAAAATAAGAATATGACAGGTTAAGGATTTCCTGCCTTCTCAGATAAATGGCAGACTGTTCTGTGATCAACCTGCATTAAAAACTTTCATTATACTTCCAAACTTAATGAATAACATATATATAGATATGTGACACCACTCCCACCTTATTAATTTCTTGATCACAGCTAGTCTTCACACACACTCACCTCGGAGGTCTCTGCTCTGCACTGTCCACAGATCCTCTTCCAACCAGGAGATCAGACTGGGTTTGACAGGCTCACGTCCTATACACATGGCAAGATGCAGTCATGGAGGTTCAGGGAAAGAGAGCATAAAACTTGTATAATCAGGAACTGTGCTTCTGAAGGATGCAGGGGAACTGTTATAAAGGGCTAAACAAGCAAATAACACCTCTTCCTGTGCTCTGAAATGATTAGCTATCTCTGAGCCCTGAAACCCAAATTAATCCTTATGTGCACACTAACAAAACAGTAACTTTTGAATCAAATAGAAAATAAAGTTGTTTTAGGGGAAAAAAAAAAAACCTATCACAACTATTTGAAAGTTATAAAGCATCAGATTCATCTGTGGCTTGTTAAAACTCATGAGATAAGAGTCTACCTGGACATTTTGACTGGTATGTCAAATGTGAAGACAGGTAGCATACATTTCTAGTGGGGTGATGGCAATGGTGTTCATCTTGGACCACATTTTAGGATCCACATTAGATCAAAACTATGGTAGCAGCCCTTATCTACTGTTTTGCTTTCTACAGGTACAGGTACCAACTCTAGTCCAAAATATTAAACAGAAATTTCCAGAAATAAACAGTTTATGAGGAGCTGATGAAACCTCACTCTATCTACTCATCCAGCCTTGGATGTGCATCTTCCCTTTGCCCATAAATCAATCCACACTGTGTATGCTGTCTGCATGGTAGTCATTTAGTAGTAAACTCATTTATATAGCCTGTCACAATACAGCAATGCTTCTGTTCAAGGAACCTGCATTTTACTTAATGGCTCCAAAGCACAACAGCAGTGATCTGGCAATTCAGATATGCCAAGGGGAGGATGTAAAGTGCTTTGTTTAAGTAAGACTTGAAAGCTCTTATTTTAATGAGGGAATAAGTCATATGCTGAGATTGCTAATAGCTACTGTAAGAAGCTATTAGCTATTAGTTTCTTCAATCTAACAAACTGCAGGGAAGGAAGAAGGAACTCATGCTAGCTTTACTGTCAAACCTCAAAACATTACTTAAGTTGTCAGTACTATCTGCAGATTCAGACCCAGTGGGGGTCTTAGAACATATCCCCCACATATAAAGGGGACTGCTGTGTTAGGGCCTGGGTTTCTATTACCCCACCACCACCAGTATATTCAGAGTGGGGCTCCCAGCCCCGTAATACACTCAGCACTAATGCCCGTCTCCTCCCTGGGAGGCCACAGGAAGGCCGGCAGTCTTACCGAGGGAAGCCAGGTTCTGGTAGTTCTCCAGCATCACCTCTCTGTACAGGGCTCTGTGAGTCTCATCAACAAAAATCCACTCCTCCTGGGTGAAGTCCACTGCCACATCCTCAAAGGTCACCGGGTCCTGAATCATCACACATGCCAGCCTGAGTATCAAAAGCAGCATCCCCATGATGTCCACTCAAGAATGAGGAGCCGTGAATCCCATGCCTGTGCAGGGGCCTGAGGGTCCCACTGTCGACCTCATGGTTCAGTGCTCTCCCTCTACCACATCCAGCTTCCTGCTGATCTGCTCTAGTCGTGGGGTGTTAATGCTCCTTCTGACATGTGAATTAATGTCACTGCAACTAGATCAGAAGCCCTTCTTTCTGATTTCCTTGAGATACACTCCTGAGCACACTGCATATGCTCGGTACCTGCATACTTGCATCCAGTGTTGAATGAACACTCTGAGAAAGGACACTTTGATATTCTTTATCACCTGTCAAAGTACTTGGTGACACAAGTACTTGGTGACAACAAATGTGCACTTGGCACATTAGATTCCTTCCTAATTATTGAGAACCTGGAATGATTTTCAGGTAACACCACACTACTATCAGCAGCTCCCCTCCCTGGGAGATTCGGCTGGCAACTGTCCTGATTGACACTTTCCTGGCTTTGAGAAGGTGTGGAGCCAAATCTGTCTAGAAGGCAATGTGTCCACCTGGTGGAGACAAGGAAGTCATTTGTGGGACACAGTTCTGCATACCTGGTAACAATTTGTCAGGCAGTCAGCCACCATCCTCCCAGCCTTTATCTTTTCTTCAAGAAGGCAGGCTGCGTACCCAGAAAGACCACCTAGAAAAAAAAGGCACAGAACCCAGAGCTGGCCACAGTTCCTACATGTGCATGCCTGGAAATCAGTCCATCTTAGTACGAAATCCCATGGAATCCTGCACCTGAGACAACTCCCACATACACACCACTGCCATGTGATGCCAGAGTGGTCCCGTCTCACCCAGAGCCAGGTAAGGGGATGGGAGCCATGCTGTCCACCTAAAATGTACAGTGGTCTCACTGTGCAGGTTTGGAAGCAAGCTCAGAGAAATGAGCTCTATTTGCTGTGGTGATAAGTTTTATGCAGAAGCTCCTGCAGCACACACATATGGGCTGACATGCACAATGGTATCATGTGGCCTATTTCAGTGTCTCCAAGAATAGCAGCATAGGGTGACTGCTCAGGCCTAACCACTGGAAAGTGCATCCACAGCACACTCTCTGCAAAGGAGCATCAACAGGACAGGGCATGGATCAAATCAATGGCCACCATCCCAGGAGGCTGAGGGGGAAATCCGCCCATATGCTCCCTTCCTCATTGCCAAGGCCACTGCAGGGCAGCTCATGCAGCTCATGGATGGAGGGATTCTCCATTCCTCAAGTGGATCACCAGGAGCCATTCCTGCCAGTCGTCAACAAGCAGTACTTTGTCATCAGTCCTCACACATTAGCTGGCTCCCCATAGATGATACCAGCCAACTGAAAACAGTATGCCCTGTAACTCGGGTATTACTAACACCAGCTGTCATCTGCTGAGGACCAGTGTCTGAATTTGCATTAGGTTTATAGTAATTCAATACCTTCCCAACTATTTGCACATCAGTATTACTATTTAATGCTGAAAAAAACCCTAGTGACTTTTTGTTTTTGTTTTTAGATGAGGTTTGCTCCGTTGGCCAGGCTGGTCTTACACTCCTGGACTCAGAAGTGATCCTACCACCTCAGCCTCCCATGTAGCTGGAGACACAGGCAACACCACCACATCTAGAAAGAGCTAATTCAGATAACACAATTGTTCTGTATCATCTAGTAAGGAAGTGATGAATTAGGATCAGACTGCACATAAGTCGGTCCCTAAACCCTTCTCCTGTGATTGCTGTCATACTCCAGGATGACCAGAAGGAAGTCTAGACCTGCAGTGTCTGATACAGTAGTCAAGAGCTATATGTTATTGGTCATTTCATATGAAGCTAGTATGAGTGAATGGAATTTTAAATTTTGTACTATTTTAATAAATTAAATATGAAAAATTTAATTGATACATCATTTATTTAATTGAAAACTCTTAGGGTTGGGCACAGTAGCACATGCCTATAATCTCAGCACTTGAAAGGCTGAGGGAGGGGGCTCACATGTACAGGTCAGCTTAGGTACATAGGGACATCTGACTCAAAACAAGCAAAAACCAAGCAAGACAAAAATTCTCCTAGAAAATTTGCAACAATTTGGTGATTTTTCAACTGGATAGTTTGATGGCACAAAGAAATACCAAGTACAGTTCATCGAAGTTTCGTGTCCGGTGAATTCTACAGACTCAGTATGAACAAAGAGATGTAAACATGTTTTCTACTCGTTATAGACTGACAGAGTATTTCCAGTATATGCAGCAGAATAAGACCAGAAGTGATCCTACTCTGTCCTTGCTCACAGTGGACACTGAGGTGTTTACTCCATGTATGACTTTCAAATTGCATTTCTATGAGACTGCATGGTCTAGACAGCTGCTAGGCACTGTGAGCACCACATTGAAATTTTTCACTCACAACTCCCTTGAGTTTTTCTTGTTGGAGCCTGGAGCAGCTTTGAGCTTTGAGACTCCTTCTAAGTTTGCAGCTCTGGCTTATTCCTTTATTTTTCTACAAGTAATTGAGTTCTCAGAAGCTGTCAATGGCTATGGTGGGAGGTGAGAGAGAAGTTCTGTCCCTGTGCCAGGCACTGAGCAGAACACTGGGAATTGTATAGAAAATACTGCAGGCCTGAAAGACCCAACACCCCTGTGGGAGAAGATAAGCAATAACCTTCTAATATCAGGTCAGAAGTGCTATCGGAAAAATACCAAGCAGGTGCGGCTAGGAAAAGTAGCTCAGGGCCTGTGCATGCCAGCCAAGTGCTCTGGCAGAGCTACACCCCTAGCCAGACAGCAGGTTCATTTTTTCAGTGAATTTTCCCTTCCTTAAATCAACTGTCCTTCCTAGTTTTCTGTTTCCAGGCATTGATGGGTGAGAGTGAAATTGGCTCCACTGGCACAAACTTTCCTTTCAACTTAGCAATTTAAGAGTGCTACAAGGCTAGCACCTGCCTAGCAAGTATGAGGCCCTGAGTTCAAACCCCAGTGCCACAAAAAAAAAAAAAAAAAGTGCTGTAGCTTCAGAGATCTCAGTCCCTACAGTAGCAAATGCTCTGCAATCTCAGCACCTGGGAGGCTGAGGCAGAAGCATCAAGAGTTCAAGGACAGTCTGGGAAGACTCAATAAAAGAGAGAGTTTGAGGCCAGCCGGGGCAACACAATGAGACTACGTCTCACAAAAGTTAATGAGAAAATGTAATCACCAAGAAAAGGCCACTGGAGGATTCTGACTTTGAGAATAAAGGTTTGGTTTACTAAAATGAGGTACAGAATTCACAGTTCTGCTGAGGGCAAGAAAATAGAATTGGTCATTGAAATAGTAAACCATGTGTTTCAACTATAACCTCTAGAGCATATATATACCCGCAAGTTTGTTTATATAAATCAACCATTCACTTCTATTTCTGTCACATTTTTAATTCATATGTAATTTATTAGAGGACTAGGGTGGAGCTTGGTGGTAGAGCACTTGCCTACCATGGGTGAAGAACTGGGTTCCATCTCCAGCACAGCCAGAAAACACACACACACACAATTTAGTACACAGGAAACGGAATGTCCAGGGAGAATATCACCAAATTTGAGGAGATATTAATAGGCACTACGATGGCAGACTGGGTACCTTTCCTACGATGGGGAAGGCTGAGAACTTCCTTTTCATGTTATGTGGAAACACACAGTTGTTTTATTATTGTAAGGGAGTTCAAGTGTTTGTAGAAGGTGCATTTGGATACTGAGTCTCCAAAGCATGGACTGTGCCTGTGACCCAGGTATTGATCTCAGCTTTAAACTAACCCTCAACACCTGCTTTGGTAATGGATTGGATGTTTATAAACATGTGTCTTTTACACTAAACATGTTAAACTTCAGACAGCACATGGGGCACTGGAGAAACAATGCAAAATGAAAAGAACTTGTCTGGACAGGTGTGGTGGTGCAAGCCTGTAATCCTAACACTTGGTAGGTGGAGGCAGGAAGATAACAAATTCCAGGTATCCTGGACTACCTAGTAAGATATTAAAAAAAAAAAAAAGAAGACCCCCCCCCAAAACTCCAAACCACAGGAAATGTCCTACTGGGTCCAGCTGCACAGGGCACACTCGGAACCCTGCCTGTCCTTCGGGGTTTGTATGGGACTTCACTGCACAGGAAGGGTTGATAATAGAACACATGGGGAAACGCAGGAGGGCATGTCCAGACTTCCTGGCTTCTCTGCTCAGTGCTCCTCCTCTAGAGTGTGGGGGAGAAGCCCTCTGCAGTGACCTACTATCAGATAAAAAGCACATCAGAGAATCTTCATGGCCAGCTCCAAACAGAAAAGTTGGCAAGATCAGTGCCTATGACCTGCCGTTGGAAGGGAGTCATAATACAGGACCCATGGAGAAAATATTCAAAATGTGTGCATCAAGACATCACAGTGACTGAACAAAGTTAAGTGGCCATGTGGAGACAGCAACAAGTCCTCTGGCTGCAGGAAAGTGAGGTTTGTGGTTTTTTTTTTTTTTTGCAGTACTTGGGCTTGAACTCAGGACCTAAACCTTGAGCCACTCCACAAGCTCTTTTTGTGAAGGGTTTTTAGGGAACTATTGGCTTGGGCTGTCTTGGAACTGCAATCCTCCTGATCTCTGTCTCCTGAACAGCTAGGATTCTAGGCGTGAGCCACTGGCACCCAGCTTGAAAGTGAATTTTGCCACTTACCCAAGTTAAGTGTGGAAGCAGATTCTTCCCTAGTTACGTATACCTGGTGTGCCAGTTAGCTTTCTGTCACTGTGACAAATTGACAAATACTTGACGTAATCAATATATATAGAGAATAGGCTCATTCTGGCTCACAGTTTGGGAGATTACAATCCATGATTCCTTGGCCCTGTGATGAGGTAGCACTGTGGCCGGGAGCATGTGGCAGAGCAGATCTGCTCACCTCATGGCGGAAGGTGGTGAGGGGAGAGAAGGGAAGGGACCAGGCCCCTACTATCCCCTTCTAGGGCACACACCCAATAACCTAATGACCCACCCACTAGGTCCTACCTCTTCAAGTTTCCAAAACTCCCTCTCCGGGGATCAAGGTTTTACCAAATGCACCTTTGAGGGACAAACTATTATACCTTGAGCAAAATGAGACCACAAACCAACCAATACCTGTACCTGTGAGATTCTAAGGTGAGCACTTACATAAGCAATGTCTCAATTTCTAATCCAAAAAACCGTGAGATAATAGGTGAGCGCTGTTTTAAACCACTGAATTTGTTGCAATGTCAGGTAGGAAGAGGTAATACAAGCACCTTTAATGAGCTCTAATTCTGACCATGAGAAGGACAAAGTGTCCGTCTGGCTGCTTTAACTTAAAACTATGTTTGTGAGGTTAACAGACAATGTGGCACCTGCATTTTATTTATTCCTTCCATTGACGTTGCCTAGTTCAATAGTGTAAATGTGCCACAAATTACACATTCTTCTCATAATCCACAGTTGGGTTGTTTCTAGTGTAGGGCTTTTGTGATAGTTCGAGTATGAAAAATATTTACCTTCTATCCTGATGTATGTGTGCGCACAGCTGTTACATTATATAGACTACAAAAGTACAAATTTAGTAGATACTGCCAACAACTTTTCAAACTGTTTCTCCAATAAACTACGAATTGGCACAGCTTTATCAGCCTCATCACCTGCTCCACTATGTCCAGCAAGATCACCCCTAAGGAGCAAACCTGGATATTACCAAACACTTGGCTTCCTCAGACCTCTGGCAGCTCTCCACTGACAGGAGAGTTGCCTGGCTCCTTACCTGCGGAATGATTCCATCTCCAGACACGTCAGTGTCTATGAAGAGTGCCACAGGAGTGGTTACACTGGAAATCCCCTCTCTCAAATAGTGCTGGTGACGGAACTCAGGAATTTCCACGTTATGCAAGCACTCTACCACTGAGCTCCATCCCCAGACCAGCCCATGTTTTTTATTTTTTATTTATTTTTGAGAAAGAATCTTGTTACCTACGTAACATGATGTTACCTACATTTCAGCATGGCCTGGAACTGTATGCAACCCAGGCTGGCCTTGAACTCAGTCCCCATGCCTTAGCCTCTTGAGTGCTGGGATTACAAACGTATGCCACCATGCATGGCTTACACTGTATATTCTTTTGGAGAATTAAGAGGCGTGATTTTGGTAGAAGGATGAACCCCAGGTTCACAAAGCCACATGAAGAGACTTTATTGCCTGTTCTGTTTCTAAACACAAACATTGGCTAAGACTGATAACTAATGTAAGACGATTTTATGGAGAATTCTCTAATGGTCAGCTGATCTCATTAATCCCTTGAATTAATTCCCTGCCTGTCAAATTAAAATACATTCATGTTTCTCCTATTTACTCTTTTTTTTTTTGGTATCTTTTATTGATGGCATTAAGGTTTGAACTCAGGACCTCAAACTTGACAGACAGGTGCTTTACCACTTGAGCCACTCCTCTAGCCCTTTTTGCTTTAGTTTTTGGAGATGGTCTCATGTTCTTGCCCAGGGCCAGTCTCAGACCACAATCCTCCTCTCTACGACCCCCACATAGTTGGGATTACAGTTACTGTTTGAAATGAGGTCTTGTGAACTTTTTGCGGCCTCAAGCCATGATCCTCCCGATCTCTGCCTAGGAGTAGCTAGGATTGCAGGTATGAGCCATTAGGTCTTTTTCTTTTGAGACAGGTTCTCACTATGAAGCCCAGGCTGGCCTCAAAGTCACAATGGTTATAGTACAGAATATTCATAAACAAAAAGATACACCATGTTTTAAGTATGTACAAAGTTAGAAACCATTTGCTTCCTTAACATTTTCCATACATTATATTTATACATGAGGATGACTGGATTTACGATTTTTGGGGGGAAGGGGATAAAAAGTGTACTATCAGCTAGATGTGCTCACTGCATGCTCTGTTGTTTATATGCAAGGCCTGGATAACTGGAAGTGCAGTTGTCAGGCATTTTAATAAACTGGACAACCATTTGTTTCTGCAGGACAAGGCGTCTTTACACAGGAGCAATCAGAATACAGGAAGCAACAAGGGCTCTGCACTGCAAAAAGCCACCTTAACAGCTAACCAGCATCACTCAACTGCTACACAACTGTGCAAAATACTTTCTTATTCGAAAGGAAAGTTGATCTTTAAGAGTGCTGTGTTGATCAGTACATAAGCAAGTATCAAACTTTCCACAACTGGGAGATATAAATGTATGCGTTCCTGATAAAATGCAATTGGAAGCACACAACACTGCCCATAACATTTTTTGGCAGATGATATTTAAAATTCTCTACAGCTATGGGTCACTGGTATGCTTTTTGTAAATGTGGTTTACTCTAACAAAATCAAGGCTATGCATTAACTAAGACACCTGGCTGCCTGACTACTCCAAAAAAGAGTTTGGTAACTAGAGATGGTATAATCTGCAAAGCATGAAGTACTTATTATCTGGCTCTGTTTACACAAAAAATTTTCCAACCTCTGCCATGGACTCAATCATCTATTAGAGGAAATACAAGAAATGACAGCCTCCTCACCACAAGATGATTCGAATGACTTTAAAAGGATGTGTGAGCTGGGTGTGGTGGCGTGTACCTGTGATCCCAGCACTTGGGAGGCTGAGGCTGGAGAATCATGAGTTCAAGGCCATCCTGGGAGATATGGCAAGACCCTACATCCAAAAAAAAAAACCGACAAAAACCCCACCACCAACACCAGCAAAAAAACTCATTCCAGTTAACAAGATGTGTAGCTCTTCAAAATATTAGCATGGGGCTGGGGCATAGCTCAGAGGTACAGCACCTGCCTAGCATGTACAAGGCCCTGGTGTGGATCTGTATCACTGGGGAAAAAAGCTGTGAACAATAGGGACTAATCTAGGCTTAAAGATTAAAAGATGTAAATACAGTAAGAAACTTTTAAATGTATTTTAGCTCCAAGGGCATCCAAAAGCCTACTTTGGAACAATGAGGTTAATTTTAATTTTAGTTTTTTTGCATAACTGGGGTTTGAACTCAGGGTGTTCACCTTGAGGTGAAAGCACTCCACCAGCGCTTTTTTGTGAAGGGTTTTTTCGAGATAGGTTTCATGAACTACTTCCCCAGGCTGGCTTTGAACCATAATCCTCCTGAGTAGCTAGAATTACAGGCATGAGCCACAAGCGCCCAGCTATTTTTAGTTTTTACAGAGTAGATATTAGACATTGTTACTGCACATTTTCCTCCCTTCCTCTCTTCCTTTCTTTCAGCAATACTAAGGTTTGAACTTAGGGCTTCACGCTTGCTAGGCAGCTGCTCTACAGCTCAAGCCACTCCTCCAGCCTTGTTTGTTTTCTTAATTGAGGAGAGGTCTTTTTTTTTTTTTTGGTGCTGGGATCAAACCCAGGGCCTTTCGCATGCTAGGCAAGTGCTGTACCACCGAACTACATCCCAGCCCTGTTTTCTTAATTGAAATAACAGTACTGTGGATCTAGTAGAACAATGTCCTTATTTTCAAAACATACATTACTGTGTATTTAATGTTCAAGTATCACATCTACAATTTATTTTCCATTGACTTACTCTGAAAGCGATTACAATAAAATGTATCTGGTGAGATGAGAGAGCATAAAAAATGCTAAAAATGGATGAAGCTACTTCAATGTGTATATATTGTATTTTATGTTCAAATGACCTGTAAGCAATTTAAGATTTTTTCCAAGAAAAATGTAGGGGAAAAATATACTTAGACCAAATACCCTATCAATGGTATATTCAATTATTTTAGTATTGTTGCAAAAAAGCCTCCTTTGTTTCACACTGGAGGCCATATTTTGAAACTCTATAGAGATGCATAGGCCTAGAAAGCTCAGATAAACAGAACAGCTAGAATTCATAAATTCTATGGTTTTGTTTAGGAAAAAAAGATGTAGAGTTTACAAATGCGTATATTAACATAGAGAAACATGCCCTCATAGGCACCCAGGTGTGTTAACCTTTATGATATAAAGTTATGAAAAGCTTTTTTTTTTTTTTTTTTTTGCGTACTGGGATTGGAACTCAGGGCCTCACGCTTGTTAGGCAGGCCTCTACCATTTGAGTCACTCTGCCGGCCCGGAAAAGGCCAATTCTTAGCCGAAACAGTCATTTGCCTATGACTGAACTGAGGTTCTTTTGAGTCAATATTGCTTTTATGTCTTTTTTTTTTTTTTTTTTTTTGCGGTGCTGGGGGCCGAATCCAGGGTGTCGCGTGCCGGGCAAACACTGCACCCTTGAGCAGCACCCCCGACAGTGAACCATTTTCTTCCAGTGCTCACCGGTCCGCGCCGCAATCGCCAGGTCCATGAGGCTGGAGGACACTGGGGACGTCGCCAACGGATCTCCAACCGCGGAAATTCTTTTCCTTTTGGGAAAAAAAATGGCAAAGGCTGCTGTGGGGGATCTTGGAGAGGCCAGGACCGTAGATGAAACACCCCGCGGACGCTCTACAGCGGCCGTCCCGACTCTGTCCCGCCCCGCGCAGACACACCGCCCTAGCGGCCACTCGGACCTGCCGCGGCCGGGGGTACGCGAGCGTGGCAGCCAGGCCTTTCTACCAAGGTTCCTAGGCAGCCCCAGCCATCTCCGTGCATTCTTTAATGACCCCTTCCACCACATCCCCTTCACAAGCAACTCATCCCAACCTGTCCGGTCTCCACACTCCAGAACGCGAAAACAATGCGGGTCGCCGGGAGACGACGTCAGAATGGGCGGGCCTGCTTGTGACGTCACTTCCCCTTCAGCCTCGAGCAGGGAGGGGCGGAACTCCGGAACGCTACGCCTGCGGCCCCAGCTAAGCAGGCCTGGGTTGGGTTGAGCAATTTTTTGCGCCCCGTGTACGTGGAAGGGCCCTGGGTTAGGGCTGGGTCGGGAACCGGAGGAAGAAACAGGCGCCGAGCACAAGGTTGCCGTTTGAGCGCGGCCTCCGGGCGGGGCCTAAGGCGGGTGTGGCCGGGGAATGGACCAGAGGGCAGGTGTGGGATTAGTGCCCAGCTCAGGGGTGTTCATCAAAATGTTCTCTTAGGGTGTAATAGAGGGGGTGAGCTTGTTCAAAGTGCACTGTATGCATGTATGGAATTAGCACAGTGAAACCCTTTTGTATGATTAAAGCATGCTAATTCAAAAATTGTAAAAAGTTAAATATTTTCCACAAGCTCTTGTTCAAGTCCCTAGATCCATTACAGTTCTCTCTTGGTAAATCTACCAGCCCTTGAAATGATCTCTTCTATAACTTAATCCAACTTTTAAGTCCTTACTTCCTTTTACTTGTATGACACCCTCCAAAACCACATTAAGGTTTCTTTACATTTTAAGTCGCATATATATATATATGCATATATATATATATATATATATGTATATATATACGTATATATATATATATATAATTTAAAATGAAAACAATCTACACATTATGTTATGTACAATTTATATTTAATTTTGGGGGGGGGTGCTGAGAAATCAAATCCAGGACCCTGCACAGACTAAGCAAGTATTACTCAGCTACATCCCAAGCCTTAATGTTTTAGAAATTTTGAATTTTTTTTCAAGTCTGTATGTATGTGCGTTATTAAATGATTCAGGGTCTCCCATCCTAGATTGCAAAATAGCCCTCACATCAGGAATTCTTCACTTATTTGGTAAGAATTAAAAAGTGGCTCCTGCAATCACATTTGGGATTTTTCAGTGAGTAACCTTTGTGGAGTTAGAAAGGTTTTGTGAGCTTTTTTTTTTGGAGGGGGGTTTGGGGGGGACTGAAGCCAGGGCCTCACACATGCTAAGCAAGTATGTTTTTTTTTTTTTTTTTAGTATGGGGTTTGAATTCAGGGCTTCCCACTTGCTAAGCAGGTGCTGTACTACTTGAGCCACTCCACCAGCCCTAAGCAGGTGTCTTAGCACTGATCTACATCCCTGGTCCAAATAAAGATATTTTAAGACACTGATTTACAAATGCATTTTATCAAGAATTCTTCGTGGATGTCATCCAAATATTTATGAATCCAGAAATACTATTTTGCTATATTAACATTCAACTTTTTTTTTCTTGTGTTGGGGATGGAACCCAAGGCCTCAAGAATGCAAAGCTAATGCTGTACCAACTAACTGAGCACAGCCCCCAGGTTAATATTCAACTTCGTTGCTTTTCTTCAGACAGGGCCTTGCTGTGTAGCCCAGTATGGCCTTGAACTGTGGATCCTCCTACCTCTGCCTCCTGAGGGATGGATTACAGGCATGTACCACCTTGTCTGGTGAATATTCAACTTTTTTTTTTTTCTTTTTTTGGAGGTACTGGGGTTTGAATACTGGACCCTGTGCTTGTGAGGCAGGCACTCTATTGCTTGAGCCATTGCCTCCAGCTAAATTTTTTTTTTTTCCCTTGGGCACTGGGGCTTGAAATCAAGGCCTCACACTTGCTAGGCTGTCGCTGTACCACATGAGCCACCCCACTAGGCCTAAATATTCTTTTGTTTTATAGAATGATTACTTTGTACCTAAACAAAGAGGTTGTTTTTCTAATAATTTGATACAGATTGCTAATTTTTCTTTCGAAGTATATTACTTTAAAAAAATTACATCTTGAGCTGGGTGGCTCAAGTGGTGCAGCACTTGCCTAGTAAGTGCAAGAACCTGAGTTCAAATCCCAGAACCTTCAAAAAATAATTACAATTTAGGCAGGCATGGTGGGTGCATACCTTTAGTTCCAGAAAGGCTAGACTAGAAAGGCTGACGTGGAAGGATAGCTTGAGCCCATGAGATCAACACCAGCCTGGCAAGAGAGGGAGACCCTGTCTCAAAATAAAAAAGCCAGGCAAACTGGCTCATACTTATAATTCCAGCAATTTGGAAGTCAGAGATTGGCAAGATTGCAGTTGGAGACCAGGCCAGGCAAAAAGTTTAGCAAGACTCTCTCAATAAGCTAGTGTGATAGTGAAAGCCTATAATCCCAGCTACTTCAAAGGTATAGGTAGGAAGATCGTGGTGTGAGGCCAGCCAAGACAAAAACTCAAGACCCTACCTGGAAAACAAAGCAAAAAGAGCTTAGGGGTGTCGCTCAAGTGGTAGAGTGTCTGACTTCAATCACAAAAACAACAAAAATAATTTATTTCAAAATCATTATCTTTTTGAAATCTTTTTTTGAGACAGGGCCTCAGTGTGTAGTCCAGGCTGGCCCCAAACTCATGATTCTCCTGCCTCAGTCTCAGGAGTGCTGGGATTACAGGCACCACCATGCCTAGTGGGTCTTTGTTATTAAAGCAAGCTCTCTCTTTGCTATCTGGCCATCATAGGGGAACAGCTTGCTTCACCAGATGCCCTCTGCTGTATTCTGCCTCCTTACAAGTTAAAAATGGAGCTAGCCAATCATGGACTGAAACGTATGACACCAAGACCCAAAAGAAACCTTTCCTCCTTTAAGTTTGATTTTCTCAGGTATTTTGTCACAGTGGTGAAAAGCTAATGCAGGCAATGCCCTCATCCCCCACCCAGCAAAATCTCCAGGTTGTCAACGTATCTTCATACACAGGAAATAAAACATGATGAATACAAACTGTTGTTCTGATGCTGACACCACCACACTGTGGATATTTGGGATGATAACAGGAGGTTCTAGATAATGGCATAAATTGCCCTAAAGAGCACAGAAAACATCTTATTACAGGTAAGGAAGAGAAATATAATGAAGTTAAAGCAGAACCCAGAGGCTAGGCCATAACCAGTATATATGGCATTGCTCAAGAAAATAGTCCTGAGCTAGGTGTGGTGGCACATGCCTGTTATTCTAACAGGCATGAAGAGGCTGAGGCAGGAGGACTGCAAATGTGAGGCCAGTGTGGTTTCAAAAAAACAGAAGCCGGGTGCTGGTGGCTCACACCTGTAATCCTAGCTACTCAGGAGGCAGAAATTTGAAGCCAACCCAGGCAAAATAGTTCCATGAGACCTGAAAATACCCTTCACAAAAAAAACAGGGCTGGAGATGTGGCTCAAGTGGTAGAATGGCTGCCTAGCAAGCGTGAGGCCCCAAGTTCAAATCCCAGTACTGCCATAAAATAAAAAAAACGGAAGTGAGAGATCGAGCGAGAGGACCCAAAACATCTAGAAGTAGCTTTGAAATGGTCTTTATGGAGTTGTAAAGTGTGTTACAAGTATGAGTTTGATCAAGAAGACAGGTCCGAAGTTACATTGTTTGATGGTATGAACTCAACATTAGTAAAGCATATATAGAGATAAATGGTGTCCCTTGAAACAAAAGTGAAGGAATAAAGAGAACATGGAAAGTTCTAGGGGTTAGTGGAAGGCATGAGGAAGAGTGGTCCTCAGTTTCGATGTCAATGGGTTGACATACGCAGCATGTGTCTCCTGGGGAAACAAGACTTTTGCTAACTTTCTGAATACCACAGATAGCAGTAATCTGACTTTCCCATAGGCATGGGGTATAGAACCACTGGGACACAGAGAACCCCAAATACCAAGGTAAGGAAAAGAAAAGCTGTTATGTGTGCAGTTTGTGCCTGAGGAGTGCCAGTCCTTGCATAGGGGAGGTTCTGATGAACCCGAACTCATCTCTGGCACAGAGGAAAAAGTAATATCCAATGGTGAGGTCTGGGGTGGGGGATATCTCATCAGCAGTGAGCTTCTTAGGCCAGCAATGTCTGGTCTGTGACACTGGGGTATTTGTTAACGATACTATCACTAGGGGTCCAGGCCCAAGGATGAGGCCATCCTACAGTACTAACTTTACCCATGACCCCCACATCCTCCTCCTCAGGCAATTGGGAACAGAATCCCCAGGATAGGGTGGGGTACCTATATGTCTTATTTTATGCAACTCAAATGACATCTGAAGCCAGTCTGTGAGCTGTTACAACCCACACAGGGAGTTAAGAATGATGCTGTCTGGTGCTATTGCCAACATTAAATGTGATAACCGGGCTAAAAAGCAGCACTCACACCCACAGGAGACCCACTCCACCACCCACTTCTCACCACAAACAACACAAAGGTGCACAGGTCTCTTCCACTCAGGATTTATTAAGTAGCTGGTTCTGGATCACCATGACACGGAATGGTTTAACAGCCACAGAAAGTGTCACTGAGTGGCTGTAGCCCCAATGGTCATAGGTGACATAACACAAAGCTGCTCAAGCATACATGCATAAATATCCCAGACTGAAACCAGGTGGTGCTTTGCATCTGTACCAAGGCCACATCAGAAGTGCCAGGGACGGTTTCCAGCTGCATGGAATATGAATCTCTATGTCACATGGTTTTTCTGTTTCAATGGTACATTGAAACAGAATCCTGGTCCCACTGTCAGTCCCAGCTGTTACATGACTAAGGCATTCATGATTGCTTTGCCCACCTTTGCGCATGCAGAGGTCAGAAAGAACCTCAGGCAACTCGCTACCTCCTTGAATTGCCTGAGATTAATTCCCATTCTCCAGGTGCAAGGCTCATGGCGCTCCCTCCAGTCATGAAATCAAGGTACTTCACACTGCTAGCTATTCATTCCCCATTTCTCCACTCACCTCTTTAGCACCACAACCTTTTATCTGAAAGAATCAGAAGTGAAAGAGGAACAAAGATAGTTTAACACTGACAGTTATATTATAAGCCAAAATTGGCTGTTGTGGGCCACTATAGGAGTAACATGTGTAAGAGCATGACAAGCCAGGGAGTTTACATTACTAAAACATTACATCGGCGTCCTGAAGGCCCACTTTTTACCACGGTGCTACCCAGAAGCTGTAGCACCTGGACTGAAATGGTGTTGCTATGGAAGAAAGATGGGTCACTCTGGGAATGATCAGGATAGAGAACAAAAGTTCAAAATAAACAAAACCATCCAGACAGCATTATCTCTGCCAGCATCCCAAATTTCAGGGGATGTGGACAAAATTCTCATATCCCATGTATTCAGTATCTCTTGGGTGAGAGTCTGCATGAGCATTCATGCTACTAAAAAAGGACCTCCCAATATTCCTTACCTTCATGAAGTTTTCTCCACTGTGAGATCACAGGTGAAGATCAAAGCATTTCACAGAACTACCACCTTCCCATATATCTTACATAAGGAGCATTCCCTTCACTGTGGAGTCTTACATATTTAATAAGTTCCCGGAAACTAGTCAAGGCTTTCATATTGCCTTCCTTAAATTCATGGGGCATCTTGAGAGAAGAGGTTCTTTCATGTTTTCAAAGTCAAGTGGTGTAACTGAAGGCTGTTCCACACACCTTCCATTAACAAGGTATCTCACCAGTGAAAGCTCCAGTGTGAGCATTAAGATGTAAGGAACTCCTAAAGGATTTTGGCATTCCCCTCATTCAAAGGGTTTTTGTTCAGTGTGAGTTACTAAATGTTCACTTAGTAGGTGAGAGTTATTGCAGGCTTTTCTACATCTCTATCAAAGGGTTTCTCTCTGCTGTGAATTTTAACATGGTGGATTAGGTTGGAAGATGAACTGAAGGCCTTCCCACATTCCTTACATTCATAGGGCCTCTCCCCAGTGTGAGTTCTTACATGTTCTGTCCTGCTTGAAGAAGTGGTGAAGTCCTTCCCACAGTACTTACACTTATAGGGCTTTATTCCGGTGTGAATACGAACATGTTTAGTAAGGTATGAGAAATATTGAAAGGATTTTCCACACACATCACATTCAAATGGCTTTTCCACCGTGTGAGTTTTTAAATGGTCATGCAGCAGATTGTACCTATTGTAGGCCTTTCCACACTCCTTACATTCATAGGGTTTATCTCCAGTATGAATGGTTAGGTGTTTACGTAGGTATGAGGAGTTGAGGAAGGCTTTCCCGCATTCTTTACATATACAGGGTCTCTCTCCACTGTGAGTTCTTACATGTCTACGTAGGTATGAGGAAGCATGGAAGACTTTCCCACATTCACCACATATATGGGGTATCTCTCCACTGTGAGTTTTTCTGACATGGTTATGTAGGTATGAGGAGTTGAGGAAGGCTTTCCCACATTCCTTACATATATAGGGTCTCTCTCCACTGTGAATTCTTACATGTCTACGTAGGTATGAGTAGGAATGAAAGGCTTTTCCACAATCCCCACATATATAGGGTCTCTCTCTACTATGAGTTCTTCCTACGTGGTTACGTAGATATGAGGAAGTGAGAAAGGCTCTCCCACATTCCTTACATATGTAGGGTCTCTCTCCACTGTGAATTCTTACATGCTGAGTAAGGCGTGAGGATGAAGCGAAGGCTTTCCCACATTCTTTACATTCATAGGGTTTCTCTGAAGCATGTGTTGGGATATGTGTAATAAGGCCTGAGCGCTTAGTGAAGGCTTTTCCACAGTCCTTACATTTATAGGGTTTCTCTCCAGTGTGAGTTCTAAAATGTTCCACTAGCCTTGAGTAAGTAGTGAAGGCTTTTCCACATTCCTTACATTCATAGGGTTTCTCTCCCGTATGGGTCCGCATGTGCCTGTTAAGGTTTGAAGACCGTCCAAAGGCTTTTCCACAATCTTTACATGCGTAGGTTTTTATAGTGTGTATCTGAACAGGTACAGCCTGACTTGAGTGAGTCAAATGACCTCCATTCCATGTATTTTGACTTTTTATGTGTGTCTTGAAATACGAGTGTTCACTGAAGATCTCTCCACATTGCACATAGTCACAGAGGTCCCCTGCATGGTGGCTTCCTACCTGTGGATAAAGAAGGGATGAGTGATGATCAAAGAATTTTTCAGATTTATTATACACACCATGCTTGGTGCATTTCCTTCAAGTTGTGTGAAGGAATCCTACTTCAAGGATCCTCTACCCTCAGGTCTAATCTTGGGATGCCTCTGTATTTTTATGAAATTCTTTTCATAATCTTCGTACCCAGTTACATATGTGGGAATATGTATTTGTGGGAACTCTGAAGCTCCAAGTTTTGAGCTAGGATTATGAAGGCATGCCAAATTCATCACATTCAGAGTATCCCTCTAAAGACACCTCCCAAATTAGAGTGAAAGCTACTTCTCATTTATACTGCTTTTCTACAAAGGAATCCCCAGTCTTTTCTGAGTGTGGTAATAAAGAATTTCCCTCATTTAATCTCAGCGTGCACCAGTGCTGTTGCCTGCTCCCTGCTGATAATGGATGAATGATAAAGTTACATTATTTAGAGGATAACTGTAATTCACCTTTTTATGACACTCTTACAACATCCTTCCATGGTGTTTTCTTTTGAATTGAATGAAGCAACAGTAGTACCAGAATTTTGAGCCATGTTCAAAACCTTTAAACACATGTTCAGATATTCACAAAATTGCTTTTAAGAGCCATTGCCTAGTTACACATGTGTACCTGCAGGACCTCTTTTTTTTTTGTTTTCCTGACATACGGTATTAGTACTATATAGACTAGGTTGGCCTTGAACTCATGATCCTCCTGCCTTAGCTTCTTGAGTGCAGGAAGTATAGGCATGTACCATCACACCCAGCAGCCAGTCTTTTTTTTTTTTTTCAGTGCTGAGGATGAATTTCAAGGCTTTACATATACTAGGCAAATACGCTACCACAGAGCTACAAGCCTGATTGTACAATGCTTCAGGAAGGGTTTCATGATAGTTTTGGGACATTCACAAATTCATTATATTGAAGAGTGTTTCTCAGAAACATTGCTTGCTTCTCAGAAAATACTAATTTTCTACAATGCAATTTGCAGCTGGGTGCTGGTGGCTCATGCCTATAATCCTAGCTACTCAGACATCAGAGATCAGGAGGATTGCAGTTTGAGACCAACCTGGACAAACAGGAAGATCCCATCTCAACCAATAGCTGAGCACAGTGGAGCATACCTGTCATCCCAACTATGGCAAAAACTTTGTGAGACCCCATGTGGGCATGCTGGTACACACCTGCCATCCCAGACACAGCAGGTAGCCAGCCTGGGCAAAAAACAAGACCCTCTCTCAAAAATAACCAGAGAAGAAAAGTGCTGAAGGCATGGCTGAAGTGGTAGAACTTCTGCCTAGAAAAATCAAAGCCCTGAGTTCAAACCCCAGTAGTACCAAAAAAAGAAAGGAATTTGCAATCTTCTCTGAGTGAGGGAAAAAACAATTATCTCTTGTTAATCTTACTGTTTGTGTCCCATTTGAAGTTTGTCCCCTCAAAAAGTCCTGCTGAAATTGCTGAAATGTTGACTCTTTGGTGCTAAGTCGCATTTCCCATTCTGAGGATAAACCAAAAAACAAAATTAACATTTGGAGAGAAAGAAATGGGAGTTTGCAACAGTTAAAATGATCAGGCTCACTGGAATTGGCTTTGAAACTGAACCTCATTGGAAAGAAAGAAAAGTCTGTATATTTTGACGTCAAAAATTTGGGCACGGTTAAGGATATGACTCACAGTTTTAGACAGTTTACTACAAATGGATTCTTGGAAAAGTAAAAGTGATGATGGTGAACAGTTCCTGAGGGATGAAAACCATCAAAGATCTCAAAGAACAGCACAGGATGAAACAATAAGAAAGAAACACAATAGGTCATTTTGTAGGATGAAAGAAAAGTCTGAGCAGGATTATCAGAAATTGAGGATTTCCTACTTTCTCAGACAAATGGCCTGAACCTGCCATCAAGAAAGATTGAAAAAGGTTCCTCACCAAACTTCCAAATGTGTTCTTTGCAAGCACTCACCTTGGAGGTCTCCGCTCTGTACTGTCCATAGATCCTCCTCCAACCAGGAGATCAGACTGGGTTTGATAGGCTCACGTCCTGTACACATGGCAAGATGAGGTCATGGAGGAGGTTCATGGGGGAGCATAAAACTTGTATAATCAGGAACTGTGCTTCTGATGGATGCAGGGGAACTGTTTTAAATGGGCTCAGCATGCAAATACCATCTTTTTCTGTGCTCCAAAACGGTTATCTCTGAGCTCTGAAACCCAAATTAATACTTATATGCACACTAACAAAACACTAACCTTGAATCAAATAGAAAAAGTGAAACAAAGGTATTTTTCTTCTGGAGGACAAATTACACCAGTGACTCACATGTATTACTGTGCATCAGGTTCATCTGGATGACTTTATCAAATTCACATGACCACATGGGATCTACCTGGAACTTCTGATTCAGCATGTCAAAGGAGAAGACTGATAATTTACATTTCTTTTTTTAACTCTTGCTGGACATGGAACCCAGGTATGCTTTATGCATACCAGGTAAGTGCTCTACTGCCAGACTATGTCCCTAGCCCAACAATTTACATTTCTAACAGGGGGAAGGTGATGACAGTCATCTCAGACCACATTCTGAGAACTACCAAAGTAAATTAAAGTGTTTATAGTACCATCTTATCCAAGATTCTATGCTATACTGAAAATATCAAATATAAGCCCCCCACTCATACCCCCAAAAAAAGAACTGTTAAGTTTTAAGTTGCACATCATTTTGAGCAGTGCTGATAGAATCTTGCACTGTCCCTGTCTGTTCAACCTTGGATGCGAATCATTCCTTTGTCCATCACATCCCCACTGTATATGCTATCTGCACAGTAGTCATCCAGTTGCTTTCTCACTACTGGAACACCTGTCACAATACACCAATGCTAAAGGAAAAAAACAGCAACAAAATATGGCAGTGCCTGTGTCCAAGGAACCCACATTTTACTTAATGGCCCCAAAGCACAACAGCAGTGATCTGGCAATTCAGATATGCCAAGGGGAGGATGTAAAGTGCTTTGTTTAAGTAAGACTTGAAAGCTCTTATTTTAATGAGGAAATAAGTCATATGCTGAGATTGCTAATAGCTACCGTAAGAAGCTATTAGCTATTAGTTTCTTCAATCTAACAAACTGCAGGGAAGGAAGAAGGAACTCATGCTAGCTTTACTGTCAAACCTCAAAACATTACTTAAGTTGTCAGTACTATCTGCAGATTCAGACCCAGTGGGGGTCTTAGAACATATCCCCCACATATAAAGGGGACTGCTGTGTTAGGGCCTGGGTTTCTATTACCCCACCACCACCAGTATATTCAGAGTGGGGCTCCCAGCCCCGTAATACACTCAGCACTAATGCCCGTCTCCTCCCTGGGAGGCCACAGGAAGGCCGGCAGTCTTACCGAGGGAAGCCAGGTTCTGGTAGTTCTCCAGCATCACCTCTCTGTACAGGGCTCTGTGAGTCTCATCCAACAAAATCCACTCCTCCTGGGTGAAGTCCACTGCCACATCCTCAAAGGTCACCGGGTCCTGAATCATCACACACATGCCAGCCTGAGTATCAAAAGCAGCATCCCCATGATGTCCACTCAAGAATGAGGAGCCGTGAATCCCATGCCTGTGCAGGGGCCTGAGGGTCCCACTGTCGACCTCATGGTTCAGTGCTCTCCCTCTACCACATCCAGCTTCCTGCTGATCTGCTCTAGTCGTGGGGTGTTAATGCTCCTTCTGACATGTGAATTAATGTCACTGCAACTAGATCAGAAGCCCTTCTTTCTGATTTCCTTGAGATACACTCCTGAGCACACTGCATATGCTCGGTACCTGCATACTTGCATCCAGTGTTGAATGAACACTCTGAGAAAGGACACTTTGATATTCTTTATCACCTGTCAAAGTACTTGGTGACACAACAAATGTGCACTTGGCACATTAGATTCCTTCCTAATTATTGAGAACCTGGAATGATTTTCAGGTAACACCACACTACTATCAGCAGCTCCCCTCCCTGGGAGATTCGGCTGGCAACTCTGTCCTGATTGACACTTTCCTGGCTTTGAGAAGGTGTGGAGCCAAATCTGTCTAGAAGGCAATGTGTCCACCTGGTGGAGACAAGGAAGTCATTTGTGGGACACAGTTCTGCATACCTGGTAACAATTTGTCAGGCAGTCAGCCACCATCCTCCCAGCCTTTATCTTTTCTTCAAGAAGGCAGGCTGCGTGCCCAGAAAGACCACCTAGAAAAAAAAGGCACAGAACCCAGAGCTGGCCACAGTTCCTACATGTGCATGCCTGGAAATCAGTCCATCTTAGTACAAAATCCCATGGAATCCTGCACCTGAGACAACTCCCACATACACACCACTGCCATGTGATGCCAGAGCGGTCCCGTCTCACCCAGAGCCAGGTAAGGGGATGGGAGCCATGCTGTTCACTAGGAAAATTCTAACAGCCTTATTTTATAGGTAAGGAAACCTCAGGCCAGAGATATGCAAGTTTCTTTGCCATGATGATAAATCCCATGAATATTATACAGCATCTCTTCTCAAAACATACCTACCAGGAGCTATCTTAGACATAGCATTGTTATGGCTTGGATCTGAACAATGCCCCCCAGCTCACATGTTGGTTCCCAGTGCAACAATGAGAGGTGAGTGGATCATGAGGGCTCTGACCTCATGAATGGATTAATCCATTATTAGATCCACAACTTAATGGATTGCCTTTGGGAGGTGGCAGATACTTTTGGAGGTGGGCCTAGTTGAGGAAGTAGGTCACTGGGGGTATGTCCTTGATGGACACTTTCCTCTTCCTGGCTGTATGAAGTGAATAGCTATGTGACCATGGACTCAAACTCTGAAACCATGGGCCAAGACAAACTCTTCTTTATAAGCTGTTGATCTCAGGTGTTTTATTATAGAGACAGAAAGCTGACTACCATTAGCATTCTCTGCTCACTTCAGAGTCACCAAAATGAACTAAGCAGGATCAGAGCACACGAATCTCTATTATTTAATGACTACAGGTGAGGAGTAAACCAGATTCTCTGAAAAGGAGCATCAACAGGACTGACCATGGGCCAAACAATGGCTGCCATCCCATGAGACTGAGGGGCCAGTTCAGGCTGGGCATGGTGGTACACACCTGTAATCCCAGTACCTGGAAATCAGAGGCAGGAGGATCATGAATTCAAGTCCAGCCTGGGCTACACAGTGAGTTCAAAGGCAGCTTGGATTCCATAGTAAGATCCTGTGTCAAAAAAAACAAAAAAAGACTACTGCAGAACAGCTCACGTAGCTCGTGGATGGTGGGATTCTCTATTCCTGAAGTGGGTCACCAGGAGCTGTTCCTTCCAGTTGTCAACAAGCAGTACTTCACCATCAGTCCTCACACATTAGCGGATCTCCATAGATGATACCAGGAAAAGCTCACTAAAAATCTGTCCGTGCAGGAATTTCCTCAATGCTAAGCTACTTCAGGCTGGACATAGTGGTTCAGTGTCTGTCATCTCAGCTACATGGGAAGGGTAAACAGGAGGATTGCAGGGCATAAAATTGAGAATCTACTTGAAAAATAACTACAGCAAAAAGGCTGGTAGTATGCTCAAGAGTGCCTGCCTAGCCATGAGGCTCTGGATTCAAGCCTCAGAACCGCAAGTAAAAAACAAACAAAAAACCAGTGTCTGGAAGCTGGGTATAGTGGTATGCAACTACAATCCAGCAATGGAGTGGGGGTCAAGGGGGGATACTGAGACAGAAGGATCTAACTCAAGGCCAGCTGAGCTATACAGTGAGAGCCTGTCTCAAAAAAACAAAGAACAAAAAAAAGACAGTGACTGGGCACTGTATCACGCACCTATAACCCCAGCTACTTAAGACTTTGAGGCAAGAAGATCACTTGAGCACAGGAGTTTGGTGCCAGTCTGAGCAACACAGCTCAGACTGTTAAATGATCGAGACTCGATCATTTAAAAAAAAGAATTAGTATTAGAAGAAAACAGTTGAAATGTTCCAGTAACCACAATGCCTTGACCTGCAGAAATATTTGGTGGTGGCTACCTGATCATGGCATGTCTAGGAATGAAACAAGCCTGCTCAAAAGGGCCACGTAAGACATGTTAGGCATTGTGGGCCCGGTGGTCTGTATCACAGTTGCTGCTGCAGTGTTAAAGCTTCAGAAATCTGTTCGATAAATGAGTATGACTGTTTTTCGATTAGACCGCATGTACAAAGACAGCTGGATGGCCAGAGAATGGCCACAGCATGCTAATCTGTACACTTGAATACTTCTTGACTTATATGAAAAGGAAGCCTCAAGTATGGGAGCCAAAAACCTGCCTTGAGACACTGCAGTGGATACGAATACCTTCTTACCCAAAGTCACTTCACAAATCTAGAGCCCTTCATGGAAAGGACCCTGCAGTATCGCCTCAATGCATACTACAGGTCTTCCTGCAAGCCTTCCCCAAAGGGACCTGTGGTCATTTACCAGAGTGTGCACAAGGGGCATGAAATACCCAGACTGACCTTCAGATGACATGAAATTGTGATGACTCAAAATACTATTGTGGCTCACCACTCAAGTGGAAATTTATTACGATCAAATGATAGATTCAGTTAAAATAACTTAAATTAAGACTAACTACAAGGGAAAAATTCCTGAACAGACAAAACTAGTTAGTCCTCATAAAAGCTGGATTTGTAAACACAAAAGGACTTAGGCTATTCCTTATAAATGTCTATAATTAAAGAAAAGTGAAATCTAAGGCTTTCCAACCAGAAATATCCAACTAACTTAAATTCCATACCTACGGACTTCCCAACAGAACAGAGTAAATAAGGCAACTCTGTAATAGTAACCAACCAGGTATATTCTTCCCCTTATTTCCCATGGTTGCCCCAACAGCCTTCCAAACCACTTCTGCTTTGGAGCTGCTCAATTCGTGAATCATTGTTTGGATAAATAAATTCTTCAATATTTTATGGTGCCCCAGTTTACTTTTTTCCTTCTTCTTCTTTTTTTTTTGGGTGGTACTGGGGACTTGAACTCAGGGCCTTCACCTTGAGCCACTCCACCAACCCTATTTTTGTAAAGGGTTATTTGAGATACTGTCTTGAGAACTTTTTGCCTGGGCTGGCTTCAAACTGCGATCCTCCTTATCTCTGCCTACTGAGTAGCTAGGATTACAAGCATAAGCCACCGGCATCCGGCCTATGTTGTCTTTTGAAGGCAATTATTCTACCTTTGAGAAGCAGGCTGTGTGCTGGACACAGTGGTACATGCCTGTGATCCCACCACATGGGAGGCTGGGGCAGAAGGATCTCAAGTTTAAGACCAGCCTGACTACATAGTGAGACTTTGTCCCAAGAAAGGGTGGGGGGAGAGAAAGGGAGGAGAGAGAAATAGATTATGGCTTGTTACCTGTCTATGGTAGAATAACGATGCACATGAAGTGATTAAAGCAAAACTGAGTAATTTAAGACCATGTGGCCCTTATCAAAGTTAGGAAACATCTCCTCTGTAGTCAGTCACAAATTCAAAGAAAACAGCAAGAAATGGAAGAATATTTAAACAAACTACCAGAATACAATCAGAGATAACAAAACATGTGACTTTCTCAAAGCATGTTGACTCTTAAAAAGTAAAGCTGGGGGCTGGGGGCATGACTCAAGAAGTAGAACGCTTGCCTAGCAAGCACAAGGCCCTGAGTTTAAATTCTAGTACTGCCCCCCCCAAAAAATTGAAAGAAATATGCTACAAGATTAATAAAGAGGAATCAATCACATGTAGCTTTTTTTTTTTTTTTTTTTTTTTTTTGGCAGCAATGGGGTTTGAACTCAGAGCCTTATACCTGCTAGGCAAGCACTCTTACCACTTAAGCCACTCCACCAGCCCCACATCTGGCTTAAAAAAAAAAAAAAAAAAAGTCAAGTTGGGCTTTGGGCACTGGTAGCTTACTCCTGTAATCCTAGCTACTTGGGAGGCTGAGATTGGGATCATGGTTAGAGGCCAGCCCAGGCAAATAGTTCAAGACCCCATCCCCAAAATAACCAGAGTAAAATAAAATGGGTTGGAGAAGTGGTTCAAGTGGTAGAGCACCTGCTTTGCAAGCGTGAAACCCTGAGTTCAAACCCGAGACCCACCAAAAAAAAAAAAAAGTCAGTCTAATTAGGGGGCTGAAAGTGTAGCTGATGGAAGAGCTCATATTCAGCTTTCGTGAGGCCCTGAAGTCATCTCCATCACAAAAGCAAAACAAAACAAACAAAAAATCAGAAGAGAGAAAAATATAAGAGGTTGATCTTAATAAAAAAGCACTGAAAGACACGGAAACTGCAATCTATAACCCTTGAATGAATTTTAGATCCCAAAATATCCAATGGCATATGTTCAAGGCCACATTAGTGGAAAATTCCAGTTATTTCACAAAATAGACTTTAGGTGACATCATTACTTTTAATTTTCTAGGGTAAAACAGTATTATAATTTTAGTAGGACAGTATCTTTGTTTTTGGGAAATTTAAAGGGAACGTTTCATGTGTGCAATTTATGATCAATTTACACACAAATGATGGTTCACTATGAAATTTATTTCACTACCTAAAAAATGAGCAAATATATATAATGCCAAAAATCAGTAACCAGGCATGATGGCATACACCTGTAGTCTCACTCAAAAGGCACAGGGATTTTCATGTGCAGAACAGCCTGACTCAAAATAACAAACAAAAAACTGTAAAACCGAAAAAGAGAATTTAAAATGAGTAAATCTGCAATGGGTTTTTCTTGTCCTGGATTACTGATTTGGATTTTTGGAAAGCTAAATGTGGGAAAAAATATACTTAGTTCAAATATGCTTTTTTTTTTTGGAGGTACTGAAGTTTGGACTCATGACCTCACACTTGCTAGGCAGGCGCTCTACCAGTTGAGCCACTTCACCAGCCCTGTTTTTTGTGTGTTGTATTTTTAAGATAGGGTTTCTTGAACTATCTGCCTGGGGATGACTTCGAACCACAATCTTCCTTATCTCTGCCTCCTGAGCAGCTAGGATTACAGGTGTGAGCCACCAGCACCTGGCTTCAAGCAAGTTCTTAAAAATTAACTCAATTATCCTAGTACTGTGTTTTGAAGCTCTGTGCGGAAATACAGGTCTAGGAACTTCCAATGAAGAAAATAGCTGAGCATTCTTATTTTCTCCAGTAGAAAGACTTTTATCTACCTATGTTTTCATTTATATACAGAAAATTTCAGGGCTGGGGGTGTGGCTCAGTGGTAGAGTGCTTCCCTAGCACATAAGGCTCTGGGATCCCTAACACCAGAAAGAGAGAGAAGAAGTGAGGGGAGGGGAGGGAAGGGAAAGGGAGGGGAGAGAAGAGAAATCCCAGCACTCCAGAGGTTGAGGCAGGAGGGTCATGAGTTTGACATCTCACTGGGCTACACAGTGACACCCTGTCTCAAAGAAACAAAACAAAAAGCCGAACCAGAAATAGTATTCACACCCTATAACCCTAAGAATCTACTTTATCTTTTCATCTGAATGTCATGTAACAAAACTAAATAAACATTAAAGACAATGTCAAATTCTCAGATAAAACATTCTTTTAAAACAAAAAGGAAGTAGAAGACTTTTTGAACCAACTTTCACCCAATGCTCACCTGAACTCGCCAGAATCACCAAGTCTGTGAGACGGGAGGAGGCTGGGGTCGGGGCTGGAGCCAGTGTTACCAAATGACAAAAATTTTTTTCCTTCTGGGAAACAATTCAGAGGTGGCTTTGGAGGCTTCTGAAGAGGAAAGGTACCCTGCTGTAAGTTACTCCTTATTGTACAGAAAAACAGTAACTATTAGGCCATCCCTTGCCCTGAGTGACTCCATTTTATAAAACAGAAGTTTGCTCCATTTTAAGTACAAATGCTGAGGCAGAATGGTTTTACAGGGCTGGCAGAGTTGCTCAAGTAGTAGAGTGCCTATCTAGCAAGCATGAGGCCCTGAGTTCAAACCATAGTACTGCAAAAAAACCCACCATCTGTCCAATACAAACCATGAGGCATAGACTAAAAAATAGCTTACTTAGCCAAATATAACCACCTATGAACTTAGCAAATTAAATCACGAATACAAGCTAGGAATGGTAGCTCAAGCCTGTAATCCTAGCTACTTAGGAGGATCATGATTTGAGGTCAGCCCAGGTTAAAAAAAGTTTGTGAGACCCCATCTCAACCAGTAGCTTGGCATAGTGGCAAGCACCTATCATCCCAGCTACTTGGGTGGCTAAAAATGGGAAGATCACAGTTCCAGGCCAGCCTTGGCAAAAAGTTCACTAGCTCCTGTCTCAGTGGAGGAAAGCAGGGTATGGTGGTGCAAGCCAGCTATGGCAGAAAGCATAAAATAGGAAGACAGTGGTCCAGGTAGGCCTGGGCATAAACTGGAGATCCTACTCGAAAAATAAGGAAAAGCAAAAAGGGCTGGTGGAGTGGCTCACATGCCTAGCAAATGTGAGGCCCTGAGTTCAAACCCCAGTACTTCCAAAAAAAATCAGGAACACATGGACACAGGGGTACATCAAAACCGTATCAGAAAAACCAGGCCTGCAAATGATGTATTCCCCTCAAACTGGAAACTATAAAAGGAGGAACATCCTAAGAATGAGATATGGAAGGCACACTGACCTGTGAGCCAGTCACTTGTCACAAACCTCGTCCAAGAAAATCGCCATAGTGAAGATCCTCCACCTCTGTCTCTGGGCTCCAGCTCAAGAGCAGTTTCTCCTGCTTGTCACAAACAGCACATTTCAAACTGACACGCAAAACTGCCTTCCACCCAGGCCTGCATTAGACAACTTCATGCCCTGAACAACTCTGTAAAACTTATCTGGTCCCCTACAGAAACTGTGCCTTGCATCCTTACCTTTCTGTGCTTTTAGTATAGCCTCTTTGCACCCAGCAGAATCTTAAATGCTTTGATAGTCATTTTATGGCATATATTATTGGGTGAAGTGTAATGACTGATCTGAAAGTTAGTAACAGTAATTAAGATTGCCAATGGACATGAATACCAAGGGAAATCAGTAGTACTTGGTGATTTAAAGTCAACGAAACTGGGGTGGAGGGGTATGATTTAAGTGGTAGAACACCTGCTTAGGAAGCTTGGGGTCCTGAGTTCAAACCCCACTACTGCAAAAAAGAAAAAAAAAAGTTAAAGTCAATGAAATTAACATAGTTTGTACATTTATTATTATTCAATAATTTTTTTTTTTTTTTTTGTAATACTGGGGTTTGAACTCTGGGCTTTGTGCTTGCAAGTCAGGTACTCTACTGCTTGAACCACACCTTCAGGCTTTTTGCTATGGTTCTTTTGGAGACAGGGTCTCACTTTTTGCTCAGGCTGGCTTAGACTGCAATTCTCTTATTTTATGCTTCTTGACATAGCTGGGAACAGGCTTGCAACACCACACTTAGCTTTTTTTCGGTTGAGACAGAGGTCTCATGAACTTTTTTTTGCCCAGGCTGGCCTTGAACAGAGATCCTCCCAATCTCAGCTTCCCAAGTAACTGGGATTATATCAGTGAGTCATTGTGACCAGCTATTGGTTGAGCTGGAATCTTTTTTTCCTTGCCTAGAATGGGCTGGAAATTTGATCCTCCCCATCTCAGCCTCCCAAATAGCTAAGATTAAGGTGTGAGCTACCAGCACTCAGCTTGTTATTCAATAAATTCTGACACCCAGGACCTCACACATACTAGGAAATCCTTCTATCACGGGACTACCTCCCCAACCATGTAATTTTTTTTTTTTCAGCACTGGGGCTTGAACTCAGGGCATTCACCTTGAACCACTCCACCAAGCCCTAGTTTTGTGAAGGGTTTTTCAAGATAGGGTCTCCTGAACTATTTGCTCGCTCTGGCTTCGAACCGAGATCCAACTGATCTCTGCCTCCAGAGTAGCTAGAATTACAGGAGTGAGCCACTGGCGCCCTGCCCATATAATTTTACACAACATACTGTAACTATCCTATTTTCTTTTATTATTGTGAACGTCTTGCTGTGGCCTAAATTACAAATTAAACTTTGGTATGGATATGAAAAATAAATATTTACTAGCTTAGCATGACTCAAATGGTAAAGCACTTGCCCAACAAGTGCAAGGTCCTGAGTTCAAATCCCCCCAAGTAAACAAATTCTGACATTGTGTTAAGACACAAAGGCTTCGGTCTAAGTTTGTGACGTAGCTCGCCCCTGACAGGAGCACGGTGGATGCCGACAACCCGAGGCCGCTGCCTTAGGGCGCTTCCCGCCCAGCTCCACCCGGGACCTAAGTGAGACCAGCGCAGGGGACCACGCGCGGTCCCCGTGGGACGTGAATGGAGGGAGTCAGGCCTCTCCATGGAGTCCACCCAACCCTGCCCTAAACTTTCCCTATGAGGCGCCCCCGGCCACCTCTGGGACCCCAGAGCCTGGAACTCACCAAAATTATAGATGGACACACGGTGAAAATAGCCACTTGCCGGACAGAGCCAGCGCTGGAAAAGAATCCGCGGCCCGCTGACGTCACTTCCGCTTCCGGCCAGGCGCCAAGACAGCGGCTCTCGGGTCTCAGCCACGCTGGCTTCAGTCAGGCCCAGAAATTCTACTTTCTTCCACGTGGGTGCGCGTGGGTCCAGGGATCGATTCAGAGCCGGATGCAGGCAGAAACAACACCACAGGCCAATGTCGAGGTTAGCGCCGGGCCTGTGGGCGGGGCTACGGGTTGGGCGGGGCCTTGCGGGGGGCGGGGCTGGAGGCAGCATCTGGACCACAGGGCAGGATTGAGATTAGTGCCAGGCTTGTGGGCGGGGCTACGGGCGGGGGCGGTTCCGGAGGCTGGCTGGGGTGGGACCAGACCTTGTGCGCTGGGTGGACCAGAAGGTCAAGGCTGAGGATGGCGACTCGCCCCATCCGATGCTCAGAACTGCTTTGGCCTGACTCCGCCTACGTTTTTAGAGCCCGTGCATTGATTCTCCCATATTGATAAGCCTGTGATCTGCCTCTTCCATTCAGCTTCTCTATAGACCTATCATATCTTTTTTTTTTTTGAGGATTACTTTCCATTGATGACGCTTCGTAGTTATCAGTATGTAAGTCCTGCGTATCTTTGAATAAATGTATTCCTAATAATTTCGTTACTTTATAGAAGTGTTTTCTCTTTTATTTTTTTGAGCCTGGGCTATATAGGCTGCCCTCCAACTCAGGGTCTTCCTTCCTTAGCCTTCTGAGAGCTGGGATTACAGATGTGCATCACCACATGAGGCCCTCTTTTTGCTTTATTTCTCTAAAAATCGTGTTGAATTCTAATACTCGATTCCTTGGCGTTTTCAATGTTATAATATTTCCTGTAATTTTTTTCAAACATATACTTCTATTGTTCTTTTATCATCTTGCCATATGGTCTGGGAACTATATGATGTTTCAAAATAGCACTGATGTTATCGGGTATTCTCCAAGGCTTATTAAGAAATGTGACATTATCCAAATAAGGATGCTAAAAGGTTTTTATGGAGTTATGCACATTTGTTCATACAGAAGAACAAACATTTGATAATAACCAAGAAAACACTGAAAATCAAAAGAGAGGATGACCCACAGATACAAAAGTATAGTATAAAGCCTCTGTGCTTAGCCCTGTGTGGTATGGCTCATGAAGAGGAAACAGATAAAAGAAATATCTCCAAATAGTCTCACTAACATACAGAAATTTGGTTCAAGTGCAGTGTGGTGGCTCATGCCTGTAATTTTAGCTACTCTGGAGGTGGATATCAAGAGGGATTACTGTTCAAGGCCAGCCCAGCTAAAAACTTCATGAGACCCCATCTCAACCAATAAAAAGTTGGGAATGGTGGTGCATGCCTGTTGTCTTAGCTATATAGAAAGTCTAAATAGAGGATAATGGTCCAGGATGGCCAAGGCATAAACTCAAGACTCTGTGAGAAAAATAATTAAAGCAAAAAAGGACTGGGGCTATCGATCAAGTGTTAGTGTGGATGCCTTGCAAGTGCAAGGCCCTGAATTAAAACCTTAGTACTGCCAAAAAGAAAAAAGAAAGAAATTTGGTCATAAATATATTTTAGATCAATGGTACAAAAATGCTGTTTGGAATAAAAGGTGATAAGACAACTGGTTAGCCATCAGAGAAAAAGATTAACTTAAAGCTACATGTTCCACTATATACAAGAATAAACTCCACGTAGGCCAGGAATTTAAATGTGAACAGTTTTAAGATTACAAATATATGTGGTGTTCAAGTGATTTCTTGGCTGATTCAAAAACAATATGTGGGTGGTGAGGTGGCTCAGGAGGTAACATGAGGAGGAGGAGGAAGAGAAGGAGGAGGAGGAGGAGAAGAAGAAGAGACATAAGGAGGGAGCAGCACACAAGCTTTATCTGGGCAGAACTTTAGCAGGCTAGAGATAGGGAGGAGTTCAACAGAGCCTGGAATATATGTCCATCTGTGCACAGTATGGAATATTTTAGGGCAGTGACTATTGACTTCAGTAAAATTAGGCAAGCCTATATTTAAAGTGAAGCATATCCCCTTTCCTCCATTTAATATCAGGCACCTTCTTTTTTTATTTTTTTGGTGTTTTTGTATTGCTGGGAATGGAACCCACAGCCTCACACATGCTAGGCAGGTGCTCTACCACTGAACTACACTCCTAGTCCTATATGGTAGGGTTTAAAAAAAACAAAACAAAACAAAAGACCAGGGTCTCACTATGTATCCCAGGCTGGCATCAAACTTTCCATCGTCCTCCTTCAGCCTCCCAAGTAGCTGGGACTACAGATGTGCATCACATGCCTGGTTTAGGCACCTTTTTAATTCTATAAGATGCACAATGGTGCTTGGGCTGTAGCTCAGTTGTAAGGCACTTGCTAGCAGGTACAAGTCCTTGGGTTTGGTTCACAGCACCACAAAAAGGACAATATTCAAATTTAGTGGACATATATGTATATGTGACATATATATGTGTGTGTGCTGTATCATGTTTTCATATTATATAAAAATATTTTGGCAGTACTGAGGATTGAACCCAGGGCTTTGTGCTTGCTAGGCAGGCACCCTCCCACCTGAGCCATGCCTCCAAATGAAGAGTCTTGGTAGCCCTTGGAAGTGGGCTCTGAAAGCATTGCACAGCAACAAGTGATAATGTCAACAGAACAGGCAGTGCTCAATGGGACCAACAGTTAGTAAGCCATAGGCAGTCGGGGCATCTCGACAGAATTCCCTACTGAGTTCAGGATATGTCCCTCCAATGGTGTTGTAAATGGGGCAGTAAGTCCCCCTCTAGGGATTGTTCAAAACTGCTTCAATACAGAAATAACATTGGCTGGGCATAGTAGTGTATGTCTGTAATCCCAGCTACTCAGGAGGTGGAGACTGGGTAAAGTGAGTTTCCAGGCCAGATGTGCAAAAGTTACCAAGACTCCATTTCAACAAAATAAGCTAGGCATAGTGGCTCATAGCTGTTATTCCAGCTACATAGGGCTGTAGGTAGAAGGATTAAGGTCCAAGGCTGGTACAGGCAAAAACTTGAGATACTACCTGAAAAAAAACTAAAGGAAAAAAAGGCTGAGGGTGTGGCTCAGGTGGTAGAGCACCTGCCTAGCATCAGTACCACCGAGAGAGAGAAAGAGAGAGAGAGGGAGGAGGAGGAGAAGGAGGAAGAGGGAGGAAGGAAGGGGAAATAGAGCCATATTGAAATTAAAGGATTTATTATGCTAACAAGTCTCCAAGAGGGAGGCACAGAATGACTAGCAGGAGGCCACCTTGTGCTGTGAAAGGATCTAGGGAGCAGACTCTACCAAGCAGGTAGGGAGCTGGAGAGTGACACCATGGCCAGGTGCCCTTATTGGAGTTCTGTGTGAACTAGAAAAGTCAAAGACATGAGGATGCTTTATTAATGATGGATTCCACTGGGTCACACTCAGGGGAGGGCAAGAAAGAGAGCTTAAGGCAAGGATTAGCTTGACCATAGTGATGCACCTGTTCACCTGGGCAGGGTCCTCACAGACTGTGAAGATGTTCTGTCATTTGGGAAATTTTAAGCTGGGTGTGGTGGTACACACCTGTAATCCCAGCACGCAGGAGGCTGAGGCAGGAGGATCATGAGTTTGAGGCTATCCTGGGCTACGTAGTAAGACCCTATCTCAAAACAAAGAAACAAAATAGACTTATGAACAACATGTGATTGCATTCCTGTCTAACTTTATTTACAAATGCAGGTTTAAGGCCAGGATGTGTTTCGTGGTACATAGTTTGGCAACCTGAATCTGAGGATATTACTTGGTCTATGTTATACAACGTCTCGTGTGGTGGACAAACCTGACACAGGTCACGGTCGTGGAGAATCAGCTGCTCACAGATTCTCAGCCCTAGGTAACTGAATGCTTGGGTCCGGACAGAGAGAACGTGGAGTTACTGTGCACTATCATGAATATATTAATCCTCCTGTCCTCTGCAAACGGTCCCGTCTGCAGAAGCCTTGCATTTGCAAATCGTCACACTGGCCTATGTTAGTGACACAATGTGACTAGGATTCCACGAAGAGCATGTACCAAGTACTGTCAGTACCTTGATAAACCCAAGTCCCTGAATTCAAACTCCAGTATCACCAAAAACAACAACAAAAGAAGATGGAAATACAGCGTGCTGCCATTTAAAAATTCAGTGTCCTCCCGCACGGGCTCATGTTACTCACCTGGTCGTCAGATGCTGATGCTATTTTATAAGGTTCTAGAAACTTGAGAAGCTAGGACTTAGCTGGAAGAAAAATGTCACTGGGGGCCATGTCCTTGCTGGTATCATGTCCCTTCCTCCCGCCTCTGTCTCTGCTTCCTGTCCCCCGTATGCAAACTGCCTGGCCATGCCTTCCCTCCATGAGGGACTGAACTCTCTGAAGCTGTGAGCCAAAGAACTCTTTCCTCCATTAAGTTGTTTTCTCAGATATTTTGTCACAGTGATGGGAAAAGTAACTACGACACAGGGCCTCCTGACTCAACAACCTTCTGAGTCACTCCTAGTTACTGCTCCTCGTACCTCCTAATTCCAAAAGTGACAACACTTCATAGACCTTACAGATTTTGGATGGAGCATGTGTCACATGTGAATGAGGTTTTGTTTGTCCGTCTGTTTTGAGACAAGGTCTCACTGAATAGCCCAGGCTGGCCTGGAAGTTGCCATCTTCCTGCCTCAGGAACCTGATTACGAGCATGCACCTTTGCACAGGCCCAGCTCTTGAATGTGTCCCATCTGCAGTCTCCTGGATGGCTTCCAGTTTCAACTGGGCACACCAAGAGCACATTCTCCACTAAGTTCAGGCAGCAGTTCCAGCTTCTCAGGCACCTAGTCTGTTTTGGATTTTTGTTGTTGTTTGTTTGTTTTTGGCAGTACTGGGGTTTGAACTCAGGACCGCATGCTTGCTGGGCAGGCACTCTACCACTTGACCCACTCCACCAGCCCTTCAAGGGCTTAGTGTGACTGGTCCATGAGACACAGTGATACTTCAAGTGCCCATTGTGAGTAGGATGAGGATGAAGCCTTTAGCCAACACCAGTGTGAGACTCACAGCACAGGCCTCTGGAACTTTAGAGAAAA